GGAGGCAAAAGTTTTCTGTCCCTCAATCATGCAAGAATGGCTAATCTTTCCTCTATAAGTACTGAATCCCCCATCATTAGAAATATGTAGGTAAAGATTAAATAAAAGTCTGTAGGGTTTCAAAAATTATCCAAACACTACAAAAATTGAAAAGAATATAGACTAAGCTGATGGTTGTAATTTTTTCTGTAATGAGGAATTATATATGATTTTCATTTACTAAGTTAAACATTTTTAATTGTTTGGTTAAAAAAGAAAATAGAAACAAGCCAGGTGCCATGGTACATGCCTGTAATCCCAGCTACTTGGAGGGGAATTGCAAGTGTCAGACCAGCCTGGGCAGTTTAGCAAGATACTTAGCAAGACTCTCTCTCAAAATAAAAAATAGAAAGGGCTGGGGATGTAGCTCAGTGATAAGGCAGGTTCAATTTCCAGTAACAGCAATAACAACAACAATAGTAATAATATAAGAGATAGAAATGTGATTTTTGTAGTCATCAGAAGCAAGTTTACAGTGAAGCCAGTGAAGCTCCAGCTTTGGGTCCTCTCACTTGTGCAGACTCCAGTGATGTGGATAGTAGATGCCAATTCACAATATTTAAGACCAGAAACTGCTGAGTGTGATGGTGCACACTTGTAATCCCAACTGCTTTGGAGGCTGAGGCAGTAGGATCACAAATTCAAAGCCAGCCTCAGCAACTTAGCAAGAACCTCAGCAATTTAGAGAGATCCTGTCTCAGAATAAAAGATAAAAAGTTGTGGGGCTGTGGCTCAGTGGTTAAGTGCCCTTGGGTTCAATCCCTAGTACAAATAATAATAATAATAATAATAATAATAATAATAATAATAATAATAATGAAAGAAGAGAAGAGATTGGAAACTGTACATAGTCATAAAATGCTCTAGAACTGGGCTGGGGTTGTGGCTCAGTGGTAGAGTGCTTGCCTAGCATATGTGAGGCAGTAGGTTTGATTCTCAGCACTGCATGTAAATAAGTAAGTAAGTAAATAAATAAATAAATGGTCCATCGACAACTAAAAATAAATAAATAAATAAAAATGCTCTAGATCTTCACAACTCACCTATGAAAGCAACCTGATAAATGTTCCTCAAGTTACCAACAATCCTAAAAACTTCATACCAATATCACACTGTGAAACTGAAAATAATGTTTTGTACAAGTTAATTCATGAAAATTAAGTTCTTTTTCTCGGATTTGTGTTGTTTGTGGTATTTGTCTGTCCCCCAAATTTTACTTTCACACACAATTTTTCAGTAAACACCTTTGCTCATATTTTCTCCTGTTTACATGTGTTTCATTAAGTGGACACTAGAAGTAGCATCTCTACCTGAGGTTCAGTTATGGGAGATATGCAAAATTCTCCTCCCAACTATACACTTACTAATAATGGATGATAATATCTATTACCCCCCAAATTTCTCTAATATTTAGTACTGTCTAATCCTTCTCTTTTAGATATCTGGTGGATAAAGAAAAATATCATATTGCAGTTTTAATTTACATTGACTCGATTAGTAGTGAAATTTTATTTCAATTTGTATTTCCCCTTCTATGAAAGGTTTTAATTTTCTCTTCTTTCCATGTATACATTTTAATTTTTACTATATTTCTTTATAATCAGAAAAAAAGCAATACTTCAAAAATCACTTAATACTTTTCAAAGCCTACTTTATTGTCAGCTCATTCAAGGAACATGGTTTTGATTTTTCTTCCTAGGACATCCCTTGGGTATTTTATTCCTTCTTGCATATAGTTTGCAAAGTACTTTTCTTTTCCTACTGACTAAATTAATGGTTTCTTGAAGCTCTGTCTGGGCTTTTTCATTTTTGCACCCTTATCTGCCTAGCACAATACTTTGCACAAGGATTTGCACAGATGTGAAGCAATTCAAAGATACAGAAGGTTCATTATGGGAACACTACAAATTTAACTTTATTTGTAACTTTTAGTTCTTTATGCACATAGACTCAAACCATCATTACCAAAGGTAAATATATTTCTTAAAAGGACACACTGTGTTATTTAGGTCCATATCCACTTCTCTGGCAGATGTGTTCATCAAAGTGTTCTCAGAAGGGAATATATCACTCCACTAAAAGGGGAAGTTGAGACCTTAGAGGTAGAGCTGTTTGGGGAATGAGAATCCTCATTGCATCATCAATATGGCCATGTGTATTCAGCTTCCTGGAAAGATCCATATTAGGTTGCCCAGGCTCCAGAGTCCATGAAACCAAGATGACAACATTGATTCAAGCAAAGCTGCCACCTGGAAATTAACGCTGTAAGGATTTTCCAAGGTGTCTTTTGCTTTATACTCAAGTGTTTCTTATGGATTTATGGTATATAATTAAACGATTATCACAAAAATTCTTAGTAAAAATTGTCATCAGGCTAAAATTAATATTAGATTTCTATTCATGCTTTAAACACAGACTACAGATGCTATTGAAAAGACAGAGCGGTGATACACACCTATAATCCCAGCACCTTGGGAGGCTGAGGAAGGAGGATCACAAATTCAAGACAAGACTCAAAAATTTAGCAACACCCTGTCTCAAAACATAAAAAGCACTGGGGGTACAGCTCAGTGATAGAGCCTCCCTGGGTTCAGTCTTCAATCTTCAGCAGCACAAACACACAAACACACAACCCACAACACACACACACACACACACACACACACAACCCACAACACACACACACAAAGAGAAAAGAAAAAAATTCAACGAAATGTGCAAATCTTTTATGTTTTAAAATTTTGTGAATCAATGTTATTTCAAATAAGTAATCTACTGGCTTCAATTAAATCTTATGGTGAAATGTTCATTCTGAGGTTAATTATTGGCAAAATATACTTTAAAAAACTTTTGACCTTGCAGAGATTTTATGTACCAAGAAGAATTATCATTTTGGTTTTAGTTGAACTTGAAGCTTGTTATAGCTTCCCTTGTAATCCTTCCAGCTGTGCTTTGAAAGCATTTTATAGTGAACAGATTTGAACTTGTCTGGGAATCAGTTCAATGAGTGAGATTTCTCTGGGAAAACTACTCAGTGGGTTTTCTTATAAATGCCATTGCTATCAGCTAACAAATACATTTCTTAAACTGAATAAAAGCACCTCTGTCCAAAAGAGGAAATAGGCTAAAGAAACATGTATTAGGAAATGTAGGTTTAAGAAACAGATATCTTGAACATCTATGTAGAAACTTCCTTCCACAGATGTACTTTATTCTTTATCACTAATGCTAAAATTTCATGCCACAGGAACATCATAGCCTGTGTGGCTCATGACAAGGTCCCTCACTGCCAGAAGAAAGTTCTTGCATGCTCTACACACCTCTTCAATAGCACTTAGCTCATCATGTTGACATGACCCGTCTAATTGTCCATCTCTTCTTCACTGCCTTGGATTGTGGGTCCTTTGCCTCTGTTATCTTCAACTATCTGTTATCTGGATTAAATGGAGAGGAATAAAAAAATATATTTGAACAAAAATAAAATCGTATCACAGAGGGTTCATTGCAAGTTATGACTTTGTGATTTTCAATGGCTTTATGACAGTAACTAACCTTCTGAGTCTTGCTGTTTGCTTGTCTCAGTCACTCCACCTGTGTGGACATGTGCAGTTCTCACAATTGGCCTAAGAGTTCCAACTATTAGTTATCCTACTTTGGACATGAGGAAACTGAGGCTCATATTGGTAAAGTAACATGCCCAAGATCTTGCTGCCAGTAATAGATATTACCTGGCTTGGGACCTGGGCAATGAGATTTCAGGAGCCACAATTTCAATTGCCACACTGGACTTTCATTACAATGTCCTTAAAAAATCATGAGAAAGTCCCGTCATTAGTAGAACATTAGGAGAAAAGAACAAAATGTCCAGCAGTGTCCTAGAATGGCCTTATTCCCATAGAGTTAGGAGTGGGGGGACAGATCTGAATGCCAACTAGAGGCATAGAATACATCGTAGTAGGAAACCCAGGAAAATGATTAGCATTTGTATCTTCTGGAGAAAGAAACAGGGGGACTGCATCTTAAGACTGAAAAAAAAAAAAAGATTTTATTTTCACCATGCCTTGTTTTGAATTATTTGGATTTTTTTCTTTTATCATAGATATATGTTACCATTTCTAAAATACAAAGATCAGTTAAAACACACACACACACACACACAGAGAGAGGTATATGAATGTGAATCTCCTTGGGACTTTCCCATCTCTTCAGGTATTTGTCAGTATGACACAATATTTGATGAGCCTGCACTCACTATAAAACACCAGAATTCTTTACAACTGGCTTCATTTCACTCAAGACAGTGGACTATAGTTCAATAGCTTAGTGGCTTTTCCATGAAACAGTTTCATACTTGACAAAAGAGAGAGTAAGAGGCAGAGACCAAAATAAAGAAAGAAAATTAGTCAAAGTCTATTTTTATGGCTGTTTTGGATTGGACTTTTTAAAAATTTCTATTCTTAAATCAACACTCTCTATTATTTTGATAAGACTTCCTTATGAAATACCACAAACTCAACGGTTTACCCAACACTAGACTTTCATCTCACATTTCTGGAGAAATTTAAAACCAGAGTGACAATAGGATTGTTCCTTCTGAAGCCCATGAAGCTATCTCCTAAGTTTCTCTTTCTATAAGAGGACACCAGTCACATTGGGTTAAGGCTCCCTTTAATGTCCTCATTTTAACTAGATTAATACTTATCTCCAAATAATTTTGTATTCTGAAGTACTGGAGGTTAGGGTTTCAATATGTGAATCTTTAGAACACAATTCAACCCATAGCACGCTGCTTTAAGCCAACTCTCTGTTCCCTGCTTCAGCCTTGTTCTGATTGGGCTGAGAGCTTGGTCTCTGGCCTACCTATGATGGGAAGCATATTGGTAAGGAATCTTGAGAGGGAAGCCCAGTGAAGAAGTCATCCTTTGGTTTTCTGAGTGAAAGTGCTGTTTTCTTTTTTCTAGGTGGTATCATGGCAACCTCTCACGTCATGCAGCTGAGGCTCTTCTTCTCTCCAATGGATGGGATGGTAGCTACCTTCTGAGAGACAGCAATGAGCAGACTGGACTGTACTCTCTCTCCGTGAGGTAGGGTGCTTAAGGACTCTTGAGTTTGGTGTGGTCCCATCTGTCATTTGATGGCTTTCTTGTCACTCAAATTGCCAAATAACAAAATTCCCTGATTCCTTTTGGGCCACCAGGTGAGATTGCAAACTCTGAATGGTGAGACAATTGAAAAAAAGAAAATCCTGCTTCATCTGGCAGGAAAAGGATGTCAGAGCTAGAGGAGACTTTGGAAATTATTTAATCTCAACCTCTCACGTGGCTGGTGAAGAACAAGAAACCCAAAATGGTCGAGTGTCTGGCATCCAATAAATCAATGACAGAAAGAGCACCACAATCGAAATCCCTGAGTCCAGGCCTAGTGTCCTTTTCACTATTTCTTGCTTCCCCTGGAAAATCAGAATTTGTGACTATACAATGTCCATAGCCACAAACTCAAGTGGGCAATATGCAACTTTAAAATGTTTCCTACAAATGGGCTCACTTTCTTTCTTGAGGCTCCATTTTCCCCAAATGGTTCAGTCCTTTCAGGATGTCTCTTCCCCACCTTCTTCTTCCTGGCTGGCTTCCCAGATCAAAGAGGCTGACCCAGCTCGTGGTAATCAGGAGGGGTGGCTGGTTCCCATCAGCCTCTACACTTGTTTCTGCTGACATACAGCAAGTCCTTCTTGGGCTCTTGGGCGGGTTTCCATATCTCCATAGGTTAGACTAGAATGTGAGGTCCCCACAAATTTCCCTCATCCACTCACCCCTGATCTCAAACTGCCCAAGAGTTTGTGTGACTGTCTGATGGCAGCGCCATGCACCCTTGGAAGAAAGTCACAGGTTCCCTTCACAGTGAAGTCCTCCAAGCTAATCCAGCATGGGAAGGTTTTGTTTCTCTCCTGCTCTATCTACATGGCCCATGCCTCCTTGTTCCTAACTCAGTAGCAGTGTCTGTACTCACTTCTGCTGTTGAATCCTCCTTTGTGTCTAGTTCAGTCGTAGCTCCTGTTTGTTCTTGTTTCTTGTGTTTAATCTCTCTCTCTGATAGGGGGACATGACTGGTCACAAAAATATTTCCCTAAATAACTAATGACAAGTTATTTATGCGCTTAAAAGCCCATGATTAACATATTTGCTTATCTGCTCTCTAGGCTTAAGGCTTCTGTATTTGTTTTCTATGCTACAAATGAATTTCCAAAATACTTAATGGCTTAAAACAAAATAAACGGATCTCTCACAATTCCTGTACTTTAGAAGTTCAGAAACAGTGTGGTGGGATTCTCCAGAAGTTCAGAGTCCTTTATAGCCAGGTAGCTATAAAGGTGTTGGATGAGGATGCGGCTCCTCGTTTCCTCCTTCCCTCCTTCTTTCTCATTCATGTCTTTGTTCCCATTTTCCTTTTAACTGTCAACCAGAGACCAATGTCAACTCCTCGAGGCTGCCACAGTTCCATGCCATATGGCCATCGTGGGCTGTTCACAGCAAGGTTATTGCTGTCTTCCAGTCCAGCCAAGGCACATCTCTCTGGTTTCTTCTTTTATGAACAGAGAAAATAATTCATTTTACAGAGATCATGAGATTAGTAAGGGTTACCCAGGTAATCTTCCCATCTTAAGGTCAACTACTTTGAGAACTTAATGACCTGCAAAGGTCCTTCGTAATCACATCTAGAGTAGCTTTTGATTGGATAAATTGGAACAAGATGTCTGTGTTCTAGGGGCTTGGCATTGAGGCCATCTTATCAGGCTTCCTGTCACAACTTTCATTCCCCAATAGTGAATCTGAGGTCTACTTGAAGCGGATGGGAGCATAGGCAGAGCACAACAGACTCATTAGAGAGTCAAACAGAAAAAAGCACGATCATTAATACTTCTCATGCTACCTTGTCACATTTTGCTTATAAATTTTCTAAATAACATGGATGGGAAAATTATGAAACCAAAAATGGAATTCCACTCAGGTGGCAGCAAGATTCTGATTGTCAACCACGTTAAAAGTTCATCAGATGGTTAGGCTGCTGATGCTTTATTGAATGGATCCTCCCCAAATCTCAAAACACATGTGGAATTATTGGATCAAAGAATATTAACGTTCCACTTATGTGTGTCTCATTTGAACAATGAGATCATAAGCTTCTTCTGCACAGATAGCATGTATATATTTCATCTTCATGAAAAATTACAAATAAATCACTGGGGGGAGACCCAGCGATCTTGGTTTTAACCTGCAGGTGATCACCTGCAGGTGATCCCAAGGCACACTAAAGCTGGAGTGTGGGCATAGGCCCCATGGAGAGGAATAGTGGGAGATGAAGCTAGAAAGATAGAATTGGATCAATTAAAGTGGGGAGAGATATATATTACTTAATGTTCTACCTCATTTCAAAAATGAAGTAGAAAATAAAAATGTAGGAAATTGGATATTTTACTCAATAGGCAATGAAACAGACAAGAAAAGAAAAGGGCTGGGCTCAAATAACTGAGTGACAGAAGCAGAATTCTGACTGATCCCAGACAAGGAAGAGAGGAAGACCAAAGACGGAAAAGAAAGTGATGACAAGGTTAAGTGCCATTTCTATCATCTCTATTCCCTGCTCTTCTTAAACTCATGTCCCTTAGAGGATTAATTTTCAAAGCCTTTCAGTAAGACCTAGAGAGGTAGGGAGAAGTGTCTCTTGTCTTTCAGTAGAGTAAAAAGTGCCAAAAGCAATTAGTGATGGTCTTTAAAACTGGCAAAGATCTCAATGATTGCATTTTTAAGAACTGTATATTCAGTTATTAAAAAAGTTAACGGTGATGCTAATACCCAAGACTATGCTTGCCTTCAAAAAAGATATTCATTTGTTAAATAACATTAAGCACTTCTTTTTTCCTTTCAGAGCCAAAGACTCTGTCAAACACTTTCATGTTGAATATACTGGATATTCATTTAAATTCGGCTTTAATGAATACTCATCTTTAAAGGACTTTGTCAAGCATTTTGCAAATCAGCCTTTGATTGGAAGTGAGACAGGTAAGCTGTCTAAGTCCATTTTCTGTTGCTATAACTGAATGCCTGGGGCTGGATGATTTGTAAAAAAAAAAAAAATGTTTAGTGTATGGTTCTAAAAATCTAAGAACATGGCGTCAATTTTGACTTGGCTCTAGTAACTTCATGCTAAGTCATGACACAGTAGAGAGCATCACATGGTGAGAGTCAGAGAGGCTGAGAGGCCTAGCCAAATCAGTTTTTATAAACAAACCTATTCTTGAGATAATCTATTAACCCATTAATTCATTAGTCCATTAATCATAAGAACGGGTTAATACATTCGTGAGGGCAGAATCCTAATCACCTTTTAAGAGATCCTATCTTGTCCCACCTCTTAATATCATAATGGGAGGCTGGGGATATAGCTCAATTGGTAGAGTGCTTGCCTTGCATGCATAAGGCCCTGGGTTCAATCCCCAGCACCACACACACACACACACACACACACACACACACACACACAAATTCTTTCATATCATAATTAAATTTCAACGTAAGTTTCAGGGCAGACAAACCATATCCAAACCATAGCATAAATATTTGAAATATTATTTGAAGATGAAAAAGCAAACTATAGTACACACCATCCTGGTACTGGAATTATCCAACTTGTGTGTCTAGATTATTTAAAGAAGGTAAATAAAAGTCCACTTCTGTATCTGTGACATAGAATCACAATTTCATTGGCCTCAATGGTGATAAATCTCAGTTAAATCAAAGTCTGGGAAATTCCAAGAAGCTACAGCACAAGAGGAACTCTAAAGTTAATTAAGGCCTACTGCCATGAGCTTTTTAGTACTTGTTTTCTTGGTAAACTTGTCAGTGGGCTTTCTGCTGATTTCTGTGTGCGGGGAGGTGATGCCATCATTAGCTTCTTCCTTTTCTGCTATTTATGTGGCCTGGAGAGACCCTGATATGAATCATACCGTGTCTAGTACACATGAAAACCACAATGGAAACCTCAAAATGGTTGCTTTGCTTTATACCAACATCACCAGGTTTATAATAAAACGTTCTCATCTGCAAAGTGGAAACTCTAATCTTCTTCTTTTTTTCCTGGTATAAATTCTCCCAGTTCACCCTGAAAGTTACTTCACCATTTAACCTGCACTTATTCTCAGAAATGGCAAGGAGGGCTGTTTATTACCTGCTTACCTTGAGCTTGGCAAGCATTTCAGTGTCTCCAAACTCTTCACTCCTCTTGTTTTAAACTCTTGTCCAAATCTACATTTGATTTTTTTTTCTTTAGTCCTTGGTCACTGGGAATAGAGAGGAGATTTTTGAAGCTAGGGCTTTGTTAGGATTACCTCTAATTTTGTCCTTATCTCTGTCGGCCAGGTCCTGGTCCAATGCAGAGTGTTTGGGTGACTGAATAAATGAATGAGTGGATGATTGTGAGTGGGAACTCCACAGCTTTCAAAGCCAATGGTATTTTTCTGCCTTCTCTTCTTTCTAAGCAAAGTCAGCTCCCTTCTTTTAAACTCTGTCTTTATGCTCTATTTTCAATTCCTTTCATCATTCTATCTGTTCCTTCCTGGACCTTCTCCCAATCAGTAGGAAAAGTCCATATTCTGCATGCTGGCAGATTTCAAAGCAGTTTGAGATCAAAGTGAATGCAGTGCATTCTGGTTAGACCTTTCAGACACTGCTGCAGTCACCAGGCAAGAAGATCACCTGAGCCTGCTCCAAAGCAAAGGCACCTTGTCCCTGCATTGGGGACAACGTTCAGCTTCCCTGTAAATACATTATTCTGACTAAAGAAGCCTTGTGACTAATGCATTAGGGATTGTAATGATTTATAATCGTGGCTCCTAGAGTAGATTCTATAAAATCTGCTGTACATTATTATTACTAGAGTTACTATTTTTTTTATTACAGGAAAACTATGATTGTTACCCTCTCCTTGCCTTTCCTCTGTTGTATTCATTATCCAGTGAAGAATTTGCTATTTGAACCCTTGCTTCAGGCCCCTTGTGTTGATGGATATGTACTCACTCCCTGGCTTCAAGCCCTTAAGTTAGATTCGGCTAATTCTATTCCCCTTATCTGTCCCAGCCAGATGCAGGCCAAGCCACCGAAGCTGGAAACCAGAGGCCAAACCCATGACAGAGGAGTGTTCCAATCTTTCCCCTCTGAGAATAATAGGCCTCAGGAAACAAGATAATGTGCTGAAGTCACCATGAGTCTTAAGCCCAGCAGGTCCTCAGAAGTCACAGAGTCACTACTGTGGCCTACGAAAAGTGGTGGATGGAAACTAGGATGCCACCTTCTAAAAATAGGCCTTTTCTTACTCATTTAAGAATTGGCTTCCGGCATTGGCTCCCTGTGATCAGGAGACACCAAGCTGAGGATTTCTTGTGTTCCCATCACACAAAGTACAAATCCTTAGGGCTGGGAATGTAGCTCAGTGTTGGAGTGCTTGTCTAGCACGCCTGAGACCCTGGACTTAATCAATCCCCAGCACTGGAGAAAGAAAAAGAAAAGAAGAGCAAACTCTCAAATCCTTTATGTTAGATTCAGATCTTCAGGGAACACATTTGTCCACACAATGAACAAGGTCCTGGCAGGGCTTTCACATTCAGATTCCCAGAATGAGTAGGACTAAGATCTGATGTGGCCAGCCACTACTGTCAGCCAGTCCCAGACCCAGTCTCACGCTGCAGGGCCTAGAGAGTGAGTTTATTAAGGTGAACTTTTGTCCACTGGCATTACCTCTGAAGGCAAGAGAGGGAGTGTCCAAATAACCAAAGGCTTACATTTTTTTCTGAGTTATATACCGTATCTTCAGCAGATTGAAATCAAAGGTACTTGACTGTGTCTTAAGAAAATCTTTACCCTCAAGGTATATGAAAGTGTGGACCTAAAAAGGTGAATGTTATTTTAAAATATTTTTTTCTTCTTCTACTGCTATTCACTACTCTTTAAACTCTCTGGGTATGTTTCCTAATCTAAAGAACAAGGGATTCCTATACAAGATCGGAGGGACCTGTGTCAGTTTTCTTTAAAAAAAAAATATTTTTTTTAATTATGGACGGACACAATAACTTTATTTTATTTTATGTGGTGCTGAGGATCGAACCCAGTGTCAGTTTTAAGAATTCCATTATTGCCGGGCGTGGTACTGGGGAAAGCCTGTAATCCCAGCAACTTGAGAGGCTGAAGCAGGAGCAAAATTCAAGGCCAGCCTCAGCAATTTATCGAGGCCCAAAGCAACTTTGTGAGACTCTGTCTCAAAATGTAAAAAAATAAAAATAAAAGTAACTGGGGTTGTGACACAGTGGTTAAGCACCCCTGAGTTAAATCCTCCGTAACAAAAAAAAAAAAAAAAAAGATTTTTTTTATTATTGTAATTTCCCCTTTCCCTTGTTATAATCTGCATTTAATCTTTCTACTCTCCATTGAAGTTTAAGTTCACTCTAATTTCTCCTACGAAGACCCATAAACATTGTCATGATACATCCGATTCTCAAAACCCAATAATTTCCCAAATACATAACAGAGATAATGCAATGTACTCACTTACTATGATCTGCCAATGACCCTTTTATCTTCCAACATATTTTGCAATTCATTTTTTAAAATAGCTTACTTTTTGCATTAGTATGTAAGCTCTACGAGGAGAGGGATTTTTTTTAATCATGAATGCTTCCTGATGTAGCCCAGATTGGCAGGAATCTCTACTCATCATTCCCACAGTAGGTCACATTGAGCACCATTCTCAATGCATAACAGTTTGCCTGCTGACACCGTAACTAGCAAATGCCTGACAATTTTAACTTCCAAAGTTGATACAAAGCATAATTTGAAAGGGTGTTTTGTGTTGTATATATATTCAATAATGATAAAATTCAGAATTTGTCTTTCATTTGTAATAGCAGGATATTGTGTAAAACATATTCATATTTGTCCATGACTTCCACCTCAACTCAATAGCCTCTGACATTTGAGAAATATTTTATTATTTAAATATCTTTGATCTGTTACTAATGTTCACTGTATCTTCTTGTAATTAGCCAAATTTCATGTATATATTCTTAAGAATACAGACAGCGCTTACCTTTCTACTTAAAAGTCTAAATATTATTAGAAAAAAATTGGCTTTCATTCATACATTCAATACTTTTTATGTGATGTGGTCATGTACAATTTATTACAGTGCGTGGTGACTTTAATCATGAAATCCACGTGAAAAACACAGTCAAGTGCTGTGTTTGTGCTTACCACTTATTTATGTATTTGTGTATTTTTGTATTCATTTTGTGCTTACTCTTTATAATACTTGGTTCTTGGTTTTAAAGATCCTATCTTGTTCTTTTGAAAATGTCAAATTTCCACTTCACTTTTTTGTTTTGATATGGGGATCCCCAACCTTTTGATTACAGCCACAGCTATTCTTATTCTGTGAGATCAGCCATCTTACCCAAGTGGCATTTTAAAATAATGAAGTCAAAATTAAATTTAATTAAAATATCGCATGATACTTCTGAAAATAACTAAATTTACAGGATTTTAGAATAGGAAGGGAGTTTGGAACCATTTGATTTCTCTTTTACAAAGGAAACTGAGGCCTGATGGAAATGTTAAAGCAAAACCTCACATCTCCTTCCTCAAGCTGCCTCCTAAAGAATCTATTGTTTTTAATCTTTGACTTATACGTGGGAATTCTTGACCACAACACAGTATACCATTTATCATACCATAAAGATTTCATGCTGACTGCACCTGAACTGAGAATAATTATGGCATAGTAAGTGAACACATGAATTCCCAGTTCAAATCCCGCCTCTGCTACTTGCCAACTATGTGTCCCCAAGCAAGTTACATAACCTCTCTGACCTTTGGTTGTCATCACCTTATAAAATTGAGCTGATGGTACCAGGTGTGATAGTGCACACCTATAATCCCAGCCGCTCAGGAGACTGAGGCAGGAGGATCACAAGATCAAGGCCAGCTCAGCAATTTAGTGAGGCCCTAAACAACTT